CCTGCTGAAAGGACTGCAAATCTTTTCTTCATCTTGATCCAGAATTAGAGTTGTTCAGGATTTCTTCTATTTATTTTTGGCTAGTTTAAACACAGGCCAGTCAATTGTAAATATAGAAACAATAACATAGTCAAAAAAGCCAGAGTGACTTTTAAAGAATAGTTATTTTTCTCAGTAACATCAAAAACACATTTACCGTAAGAGCCTGATTTTTTAAAATATGTATATGCAGCTGTCATCATTCCAGGCAGATCCTTGAACCTGATGTTCACATACGGTTGTGGTAATTATATATACAGTAGCACATATTTCTGGTCTGGCACAATTTTTAAATATTGGGCCCTTAATGTTACTTTCACCACAACATGGAACATCTTATTTAAAAATATATGCCCAGATGTTACAATTAGATTGGATCCTGCAGTCAGAATTCTTATACCAGACAGTTTGGATTGCAGTATTGCATTTGTGATGTGCTAAGGGGGTTGCATGAGATAACACTTTTGAAAAAAATAAAATATGATTTTTGTATAAATAACTTGGTTACACCACAGAGTGCTCATATTAGTTCATCTCTTTTTCAGGATAAGCAATCAAAGAAAATCTCTGCTATACTTACATTGAGAGCAGACCTTGTGTGGCTCTTTCTTTTTTTTTTTCTCAAAATGAAATGTTGAACTAGCTAAAGTCCCAACATTTCCTTGACTTGTGGTAATGCTTCTGCTATTATATATTTTGAACTTTATTGGAATTAGTTATTCCTTTAATGGAGAAAGAAGCAATGAAAACAGATCTTTTCCTAGAGCAACAAATGGAGAGCAATTTCCCTGGGATAAATTAAGGCTCCCTGATTGGATTATTCCGGTTCATTATGACCTCCTGATTCACCCAAATTTGAGTACATCAGTATTCACAGGCTTTCTGAAGACTGAAGTCACTGTAAGACTTGAAACCAATTTCATAGTGTTGCACAGCAAACATCTGGAAATCACCAGAGCACTTATTGAGGAGAGAAATCCAAAGATACAAGGAGATTTAAAACAGCTGAAGATTTTGGAATATCCAACTCATGAGCAAGTGGCTTTTTTGTCTGCTGACCCATTACTGGTGGATAAGAAGTATTTCCTTTCCATTAATTACATAGCAAATCTTTCAGATGGTTTCTATGGATTGTATAAAAGTACTTATAAAACTAAGGATGGTCAAACAAGGTAAGCAAAATGTACAAAATCTTCATATCAAGAAATGTTGCTATATAAATCCTCTTAAAACTCTCATACTTTAAACTGTGTAAAATAATGCCATTATAGCTTTATGCATTATAATTTTTCTCTCTCTCTCAAGCTTTCTCCATTCAGAAAGTTGATGTTTTATTGTAGTGTATTTATTTGCGTAATGGCTGCTGGTTTATATTAAAGCATGATTTTTATTCACGTATACAATACAGAATAATTTTTCCACAGCATTCGTGGAATGCTTATCTTCATAAAAATCTGCAAAAAAAATTTAGTAACCTATTTTACTATTTCCTTAAAGGAAAACAAAAATACAGCAACAGTACAAACCATTTAAATGGAAGCTGTGGGAATGGATTATCTGAGCACAACTATTGTACTTTTGGGATAAAAGCATGCTCACTAATCTGTACAGTAAGTCTGTTGTTTAGAGCATTAGTATGTTAGAGAAGTAGGGCTGGAAGGGACATCATGAGGTCATTTAGTCCAGTCCCCTGCTCAAGTGTGAGTCTGTCCAACCTGTTTTTAATTTCTAGGGATGGAGATTCCAGTCATCACTTAAGTATTTGAAGACTATCAGATCCCCCCCCTCAGTCTTCTCTTTTCCAGACTAAATAACCCTAGTTCTTTCAGCATAAGTCATGTTTCCCAGGCCTCTAATCATTTTTGTTCATCTCCACTGGGCTTTTTCCAATTTATCAGTGTCCTTCTTGATGTGCAGGGCCCAAAACTGGACACAATTCCAGGTGAGGCCTCACCAATACTGAGTACAATGGAAAAATCGCTTCTCTTGATTTGTAAGTGACGCTCTTGTTCATAGAATCCAGTGCATTGTTGCGGGTTTTTTTGTTTGCTTTTTGCAACAAGAGTACACTGTTGGATCATATTCAGCCTATGGTTGGTCTACTGTAACCCCAGATCCCTCTCTGCAGTCCTGTAGCCTAACTAATCATTCCCCAGTCTGTATTTGTGCATGTAATTCTTCCATCCCAAGTGCACAAATTTGCACTTGTTGAATCTCATGTGACTGATTGCAACCATTTCTCCAGTCTATCCAGGTCATTTTTGATCCTAGCCCTGCCCTCCAGAGTGTCAAAAACTCCGCCCAACTTAATGTTGTCTGCAAATTTGCTTAGTGTGCACTCAGTCCCATCATCCAAATTGTTAATGAAGATGTTAAACGGTACCAGACTCAGGACAGATTCCTGGGGAACCCCACTTGATACCTCCTCGCGACTAGACACTGAGCTGTTGATAAATACTCATTGAGCATGATGGTCCAACCAGTTATGTATCAACCTTACAGTACTTCTGTCCAGTCTGTATTTCCTTAGCTTGTTAATGAGGATGTCATGGGAGACAGTGTCAAAAGCCTTGTTTATATAAAGATATCACATCCACTGCTCTTCCCCATTCACAGAGCCTTTCACCTTATCATAGAAGGAAATCAGGTTAGTTAGGCGTGACTTGCTCTTAGTGAATCCATATTGGCTGTTCCTAATAATCTTCTCCTCTAGGTGCTTCAAAATATGTCTTTGAGGATCTGTTCCATGATCTTCCTAGGTATTGAGGTCAGACTGTCTGTAACTCTGGATTCTCCTTTTTCCTTAAATTAAAGATAATCACTGCTCTTTTCCAAACATCAGGGAACTCACCCAACCTCCACAAGTTCTCAAAGAGAATTGCTAATGGCTCTGAAATTACCTCAGCCAAATTCCTCCAGTACTCTCGATGTATCCCATCCAACCCCACTGTCTTAAAAGCATTTAGCATCTCTAAATCATCCCTAACCTGTTCTTCCACTTTTCTAGACTGTTTGCCTCCTTCCCCATCTTAGATGCCAACTGTGCTTGTCAACTGATATCTCCCTGTTTGTGAAGGCTGAAGTAAAAAAGGCATTAAATATTTCAGTGTTCGCTGCATAATCTATAACTAGATTGCTTTCTACATTTTATAAGGGAAAGGACCTACAGTTTCTTTGGTCTGCCTCTTGTTTCTACATACTTGTAGAAGCCCTTTTTCTTGCCTTTATGTCCCTTGCCAGCTGTATCTCAAGTTGTGACTGGGCCTTCCTAATTTTCTCCCTGCGTGCCTGTGCAATACTCTTATACTCTTCCTTAGTTATATAACCAAGTGTCCACATTTTGTAGGATTCCTATTTGAGTTTCATTTTATTGAAGAATTTTCTATCTAGCCAGGCTGGTCTCCTTTTGTACTTCCTGTACTTTTGTTGCATCAGGTAACTTGCTCCTATGCCCTGAAAAGGGCCTCCTTAAACTACACCCAACTCTACCGGACATATTTTTTCCTCAGACTTACTTCCCAGGGGATCATACCACCAGTTCCCTGAGTTTGCAGTGGTCTGTTTTTCTGAAGGCCGGTGTCCTTATTCTGCTGCTCTCTTTCCTTCCTTCCTTTAGGATATTGAACTCTATCACTTTGTGGTCACGGTCACCCACATGACTTTCCATCTCTACATTCTCGACCAATTTCTCCCTTTTTGTGAGCAGCAAGTTGAGAAGAGCTTTCCCCCTAGTTGGCTTCTCTATCATCTGTGCTAAAAAGTTATTTGCAACACACTCCACATCCACTGCTTATGCACTACTGTGTTTTCCTCCCAGCAGATAGCTGAATAATTAAAGTCCTTCATGAGAACCAGGTCCTGTGATTTGGAAACTTCTGTCAATTGTTTAAAGATGACCTCATCTACCTCTTCCTCCTGGTTTGGTGGCCTATAGTGGGTGACAGTCCCCATGATGCTTTCCCCTTTGACCTTCACCTAGAGGCTTTCAACAGGCCTACCTTCCACACATACTGAGCCTGAGAATATACACCTCTTTTATATATAAGGCAACACCTCCTCTTCTATCTTCTACTTATCCTCCCTGAACAAGTTATGCCCATCCATGGCATTACTCCAGTTATGCAAACTATTCCACCAGGTCACCATAATAATTACTGAGCTGTACTAAGACCTGTTTATTTCCAATGCTTCTAGCATTAATTTATAAAGATTTTGCATATCTAACTGATTTGTCCTATATGCTCCCTTAACCATTACTATGGCTTCTTGTTTCCCTTTACTAAGTTTTTTATCCAGGTTTCCTGGCTCTTTAATTACTTCTGGGTTTTTGTCTCCATATCCTTATGAACCTAGTTTAAAGAATCCTCCCTAGGTTTGTTTTAAAGACTCCTCCCCCTCTCTATCAGGTGGAACCAATCTCTTCCCAGTAGTCCTTCATTTTGGAAAGATCTTATTCTGATTTTGATTTGGTATGGCACAGAGTAACATCAGGGGGAATTCATTTAACTAATTAAGCATGTGAGGCAATTAGTGATAGGCAATGGGCTTAGATTCCTGTGTCATTTTTGTTTTAAAAAATTATTCCTTTCATTAAAAAATTATTACGAATATCTCCATGTATAAAATCTTTAGACTTTAGAACAGAAACCATTTGTTAGACACATATGTGAACTATCTAGGAATTGTGTGTGTGTCAGAAGTTAAGAGTAATTGTTAAATAGTTGTTTCAAAGTAGTAGAATAAAATAGTCCTTTGTTCCTATAACTAGTTATTTGGAGCTCATTAATAAACATTTTTCATATGGACTTTCTCTTCCATCTTCCAAATGGCATTTTTTGTTTCATCTCTCTCTCTGCAGACCTCTCACAGTTTCTTGACCTATGCTTAATTTATGCCTACTCCTTTTACCCCTTACGCTGTCATCTTTCTCTCTTATCTCCTCCCCCTTCACTTTTATTTTTATTTAGCCTCTACTCACCTAACTAAACCTAAAATGTGGAACTAACAGGACATTTACTACCATCCCAGAATTTGCCCTGCTTGTGTACTATATCCCTTTGCCCACCCTCATCTATCTTGTTTATTTGTACAGTATTTTTTTCAGGGCCCAGATTGTCTACTGTCATGTATTTGTATAGTGCCTAGCACAATTGGACCTCATTCTTAATTGATCCTTAGGGACTACCATAATAAACTTGATGAGAAATAATAAACTGCTACAATCAGATTACATTCTTTCTGCAGAAACAAAAATATCTTCAATAGCAGCACAAACACATGGCTAAGTTCTGTCTTTGTTTTGTCTTTATTATATCTTTTAACCATTTTCTAACAGGCAGAGTTGTATTGTGACCTGAGCTCTGTAATACTCAGGGCTTAATGACTGTACAGTTGTCATAGACAGGTCTTTAAAACTCTCTAACACCACCCTACTGTTTAGATTCCTTTTATCCAAGCAATTTTCCTTTTAAGTCCCTCAAGTTCATATTATGTTATGGTTTATCTGTTTGCCTTGGTGAAAAGAGGTACTTTTCTTGCAAATTCTAATACTTTCTTTGTCTTTTTAGGCTGTTGGTTTCTACTCATTTTGAACCTACTTCTGCCCGTATGGCATTCCCCTGTTTTGATGAACCATACTTTAAAGCAAATTATACAATAAAGATTCGGAGGGAAGAGCAACATGTTGCACTGTCTAATATGCCAAAGGTGACCTGTTCATCTTCAGTTCTTTAACCTATATATATATATATATATATATATATATATATATATATATATGTATATATATGTGTGTGTATGTGTGTATATATATGCATGTATATATATGCATGCATGTATATGTGTGTGTGTGTGTATATATATATGTGTGTGTGTGTATATATATATATATATATATATGTATTGTTTTCCTTCCTTTACTGAGGATTGCCATTAACGTATTACAGTGAGGCAAATAAAATGGGTGGCTTTTGATATCATGCAAAGGGATTTTTACCCTTATGAAGATAAGGGAGTCCTTATTTAAACTAATGATAGCTCATTAAAAACTAATTCAAGGAAACAGTTCTTCACGTGGTATCAGCATGATGAAATCCTGCCATGGGACATCAGAGAGAGATTGTTGTATGAACTATAGCAGCATCTTTAAGTATATATGCTAGGATAACAGAAATCAAATCTCTTGACCTTTGTTATTCAGGAAGTCAGGCAATCATAACGCTACCTTCTGGCCCTAAATTCTGAATGCATGAGTTGTGCTTCAGAGCATTTACTAACTTCAGAGATTTACTAACTTCCCCATATGCAACACTACCTTAAAAAAACACTTCCTTCCTTCCTCTAAAAAATCTTCAGGTACTAGTTTACAGCCTTGATAGAGACTTATGGTCTCAGGTGGAATATATGGAATTAGATCAGATGATTTTTTTATCTGACCAGATAGATCTACTATCTGATATGGTAAATCACACCATATAATTCTGCCCTTTATAAAAAAAGAACTCCATGATTTAAATAATTCCTTAATACCAGCCATGACTAATTATTCCACCTCAGTTGCCAGGGCTGTTGCAAAGAACCTTTTTCTCATTCTCAGTACTTATCCAGGGTCTTTCTTCCTTTTACATTCAATAAGATGTGCTGAGCAGTCCTAGAAAAGCAACCTGCAGTTTTAGTGGAAAATGTAGTGGCTCTGCCTACTATAAATGAGTATAATATACCAGTGTATTTTGTCCCAATTTGTGATCTTTTAGGTAAAGACTAGAAAATTAGGCAACAATCTGGTTGAAGATCATTTTGCAGAGACGGTAAAGATGAGCACCTACTTGGTAGCATTTATTGTTAGTGATTTTCAGTCAATCAGTGGAACAACTTCATCTGGAATTAAGGTAGGTTTAAAGGTGACAAGCACTTATTTAAAAAGCTTCTGAAATAAGTATTATGTACATCTTGTTTCTTCATATTCGGTTTCCTTTAGCTACATCCTCCTCCTTTCTGTATCCTTTATATTGTATTTTCCAAAATATTGTCTTTTTTTATTAGAAAACATCCTGGGATATGAACTCAAATCATTAAAGAGGTCTAGATTTTCCTTCTACTTACACCTATGTAAAGCAAGATTGTCACCATTAAAGCTAATTTGGTTACACTGGTATAAGGTTAATGTGTGAAGAGAATCAAGCGAGTTGTGCTTTAAAATGCCTAAAGTTGAACCAATGACATTGTATTATCCTGAAAAGCCAGATTTAGAGTTGAAAGCAATGTCCCAAGAATTTATCTGGCTGCAAACAAGAACTGACCTTTATAGAAAAATCCTGTAAACTCTACTAGAGATGAAATCAGTAAGGCAACCTGTATAAATTGTTAGATAATGTCCTGTCAGCAATTACATAACTATAATAGTTATATAACTTACAAGTTACAAATTCTGCCGAGTTTTTATAATTTCTTATTAAATTCTATAGGGCCTTTTATAAAGGGCTGAAGTAATAATATGAAACTTGGTATAGAGTATACTGTGTTGTAAATAAGTTCAAACAAAATAATGACTTCATCCTGAGCTAAAAGCTGCAATAGCGTTGTAGAAAGAATGGCAGAACTGAAAATGTTTAGAAGGAATAAAGAAACCAAATGATGGATATCTAAAGAAAATTAAGAACTAAACTTCACTTTGACACATGGCATCAGGAAATGGGTGCAATTTAATGGACTCCAATGAGGGCGCATTGGATCTTAAAAGGAAAAGATATATTTAACTGAAAGGCCATCTTTCTACTGTCTCCTTCATGGCCAACATAGCAGGCTAAAACTTAACAACAGCACTGCTTTCAGATCCTGTCTACAATGGCCTATGCTCAGATGAAACAGTCACTGATAAGCAGTGAAACTCAAACCACAGGCATGCTACCTATTGCAGAGTTTCTAGTTTGGGCCAAACTTTTAGGAATCGATCCTGGAGTACTCCAGATACAAATGTACAGTAACAAATAGGTCACTTTAGGCACCTATGAGTAAACAAAAGGTATATGATGTGGGTAAGAAAGGTGCTTATTTATTAATGTGTTTTCATTGCAATGTATTTGTTTATGGGAGCTGAACATTACTCTTCACCTTGGATAAGCAAGAGAGCATATTTCTTATTCTGCATTTTAACTTCTAAAAGTAAATTTCAAAAGAAATGCAAACCAGCTAAACAACTGTTTATTGTTTTAAGAGCCACATGTTATGGAGTTGTGTACTGTGTTTTTTTCCCACAGGTATCTGTATACGTTAATCCAGAGAAACTGAATCAAGCTCACTATGCATTGGAAGCTGCCATAAAGATCTTGGAATTCTATGAACAGTATTTTGGTATTTATTATCCTCTTCCAAAGCAAGGTAAGTCATTGAAAAGGTCATGAAACCTCTACCAGATACACAGTAAAACATGTTATAAAAGGAGTAGTAAATATGAACCCATTATTATTAATTGTTGCTTATATAACACCTATGGGCGTTTGCCCCAAAAGTACAAAGACACATTCCCTGCCTGGAAGACCTCAGTCAGAACAGACAACATATAGAAGGAAACTGTATCCATCTTTGGGTCTTACACGTCAAGAAAGATGTGGACAGACTGGAAAGAGTCCAGGGGAGAGTGACAAAAATGAAGAGTCATTTCAAAAAGTCTTGTTCATCCTCAGCCAAAAGGAAGACTTGTTTATGACTTGTCCCCTGACTTATAGGATCATAGGAAAGTAGGGCTGGAAATGAAATGATCCTAAAAGTCAGGGGAAGCAGCAAAACAAAGTGTTTCAATACTAAGAACCATCCTGTTATTTCCACATTTTCCACTAAGGGTTGTTTCTTTCTTTAATTTCAAAAAGTCTTGTTCATCCTCAGCCAAAAGGAAGACTTGTCTATGACACTTCTGTGTCAAGCCCATGACCAGCACCAAGATGCATGCCTGCCTCCTTCTGCTGACTGTGCAGGAGCCTGGAAATTAAGTTGTGTAGTCAGCTTCAAGCAGCCCTGAGTATGTGCCCCACTGCTATTCCCAGGCTTTCTGTATGTTTCAGAAGTTCTTGTTGGAGTGTGCTCAGGGTCACTGTAAGATGGTTACTTTGCCTAAATTAGGTTTTGAGCACTCCTGGTAAGAGGTGAGTGAAAAGGTCATGCTTCTCTGTAGTGGTCCCACACTTAACATGGAGGCAATACAGCTGAAGCCATAAGGAGAATGGAAATTCTATGAGGTATACACAGTGATGAGGATTTTGAGAGAGATGGCTGAAGAACTTTGCAAAATGAAGATCTTTGCTTTCTTAGGTCATTAAATCCATTAAACCCCCTAATAAATATAAGTAGTTACTTTATTCTGGTGAAATGCTCTCTGAAAGGTTAACTAAAGAATAGTCTTTCTAAGCAAATCTTGCTTATCTTGGCAGCATTCTTTCTTTTAAAACAGTAAAAAGTCTGTACAATATCAGGAATACACCTCACCTTTCATCATTAGTTACAGGCAGGAACAGACACTTCCTCTTTATGCGAAAGTCAGTTCCTGTAGCTTTTGAAAGCAGTAGACCAGCAAAACATATTTAGCAGCTGGAGGCTGTTCATGTTGTTGGTTGTCTTATACATGTTACCTCTTCACATTGAGCCTACACCAGCTCCCATTTTAATCAATAGAACACTCCCGCTGATTTCCGTGGGAGTGGAATTAGATCAGCTGTAGAGAGATTTTTATTTGGAAATGGCTTATTAGACTTAACTGTGATAAGCTTCTGACTACAAAAGGTTGGATATTAGGGAAAAGCTTTCTCAATACGAAGGTGGTGAAGCACTGGAACAGGTTTCCTAGAGAGGTGGGGGAATCTTCATCTTTGGAGGTTTTTAAGACCGGATTTTACAAAGTGATGGCTGGAATGATCTAGTTGGGGATGGTCCTGCTTTGAGCAGGGGGTTGGACTAGATGACCTCCTGAAGTCCCTTCCAGGCCTAATTTTCTATGATTCAGAGTCCTATATATCCAAGTAGATTAAATTCAGCTGTTTTTCAGATCTTGTTGCTGTCCCTGATTTCCAGTCAGGAGCTATGGAGAACTGGGGTCTGACCACCTACAGAGAGACTTCTCTACTGTATGATCCTGAGACATCTTCAGCTTCTGACAAACTTTGGATTACCATGGTGATAGGTCATGAACTAGCTCATCAGGTAGTCTAATTTTGATAACTTATTTGGCATATTCCTCAGAACTTGAGAAGATAAATAATGAAGATAATTAGAACTAGTTTCCACCTGGTATTCTTTTCTGAAAATTGTTGGTTTTTTGTGTAAAAAGGAGCACTAGGATTCCACGTGGACCATGTCTAGCATGCAAATCTTAAAATGTACCAACATGGAGTTTTTCTTTTTTAACCTTAATGATAAGTTCTGTAGGTATACCCTGAGATCTGTAAAACAAACAGAAAGGAAGAAAGCTGTTACTTTAGGCCAAATGAATACCCTTCGTGACATCTGTGCAAGTCCACTGCCTGCAGAAGGCGTACAAAGTATAACTGATTGGTCCCATAATTAGCACTTAGTTAAAAATGATGTCTGTCTAGATACTTAAATAGCTCTCATCATCATAGCATAAGGGCACTTAAAAAACATAAATGAATTATCCCAATAAAAACACTATAAAATGGGAAAGCACCATTATTTTTTTTCTTTTAATAAGTGGTATATTAAGGCTTATTAAAGTTCTTCTCCAGAAGTGATGGTCTCATTCTCTCCTTTTGAAGCCACTAAGAAATGTCTGTAGCTTGTTCCAGATCTCAAAGACAATCTGTGACAGAGATGGAAACTGACTAGATTTCTCAAATCCCCAATTAGTTACTTAACCACAAGATGATTTTTCCCATCTGGAACGATGATGCTTAGTAAAGAAGAGAATCTGGTCCTCTGTTATATTGGCTCAGCAATTTTAATAGAAGGCAAAAGCTTTCTTATTTTTCTCACTCTAATAGTTATAATTCAGAACACAGGGAGCATGAATGTTAAGAAAGAACTGTCTATCTCTGAATAGTTGCTTTTCAGAGTAGAAATGTATCTTAAAGTAGCAATACAAAGATTCAGCAAGAGTTTTCAGGTTTTCCAGTGACTGTTACCAGCAAATCATTTTCTGTTCATAAATTATGTCTTCAGTTTATTAGGAGTTAGTTTAGTTTCCTAGTTCTAATTAGCAAGTATAGGAACGACAGGCTAAATCCTATTATACTTTACAAGCCTAAAGGACATATATGTAGCTGCATTAATGGAGTTTTTGCCACTGACATGCTATTTTCAACTCAGCATTGCCCATGGTAACTACTGAGCATGGTCAGTAAGGCTATGGTCCAGCCAGGCAGCTGTGTGAGGAGAGAGAATGGGTGTAATGCTGGGCAAGTCCTGAAGTTCTAGTCAGGCACAAACCACAGTAAAATAGGGGTGAAAGAGGAGAGGTTCCTACCTTTTAGCTCAATAGTACTGAGGTTAGCATATTTGCCTAGGGAGCAGTTGACTAGTTTCTGGTCTCATCCGCCTAGAGAAGTTTTGAATCAGTATTTTCTGCTTCCCAGTAAAGTATTCTAACCATCAGACTCTGAGCTCAATAGTATCCAAAGTATTGTCCATTTGAAGCAGGCTCACTCATCTTGCAGTTAATATTCCTTGGATAAATTAGATAAACATCACTGAGAAATTTCTGCCCTATTGGGAATCTGAGCTGAAACTAAACCCTGGGTCCCTTCCTTTCCTGGGTAGTATCTCTCTGGTTAGGAACAGACATTCAAAAAGCCTGAGCCTGAATTGCTTCAGTCTCTGCAGGTTAGTTTAACCTGGCTAGGCTAAATCACTTTGTAACTGCCCAGAAATGCAAGCACATGACTGCAGTGGCTCAGGCTAGAGGCCAGGGGTGTGCTACAGCAGCCCTGCCTTCCCTTGTACAGTATTGAGCTAAGGGGAGGCATTGCCAGGCCCCAGCAGGACACTCTGATTAGCCCAGTAGGGAATTGATAACAGTGTTTATCACCCCTAACTCAGTGTGTATTACCTCATTAAGAAAACAACAGAGAGACATTACCTGTTGATTCAGCACAGACTGTAGCCAGCATGTGGTCTGCTAGCTAATATGCAGACACCTCTCCACAACGCAGAGGGGAGGGGGGAATTCCTGCTTTGCAGGGAGTGGTGAGGGGTGGTGGTAGGGAGCACCCCACAGTCTTGTCGGAGCTGCAGCCAGGGAGCAGAGAGGAGGGGCCAGCCCTGCTGTGGAGCAGAGAGCGCTGCGCAGCCTAGAGAGCATACCAGGATGCTGGGGGAGTCTGGCTTATCTTCAACCAGCAAGGGGTCTGGGATAGACATTGCATAAATCAGTTTGACCCAAATCAGTTAAATCTGATACTACATTCAACCAGGTTAATCTCAAACTGGTTTCAACCATTTTCAAGCTGGTTTATGTGCACTGAACATCTGTTCTGGTACAGGTTTAAACCAGTTTCTGATAACTTAAACTGTTTTATGTGTAATGTCTGTCCCTAGCCTCTGTCTCTGGCTTGTATTTTTCATTTCCCTCTCTTAGATATCCAGTGGGCTGGCTTCAAAAGGAGAGCTGAAGAGGGCAATGGATGATGCTTAGTTCATGAGAGTGCTGAGAAATAGAAGATGCAGGTTCAAATTCCTTTTAGATAAAGGACCTGTCCTAGGACCCTGGTCTCTTCCTCCCTGGGCAAGTGTCCTAACCACTACATTTCTGGGCTACTTCCAGCAAGTGTATGCATAGGGTGGTTCACTTTGCCAAAGTAGGAATAATTGTGTTATTATTATATAACACCTGCCAAAACCTGCAGTTATGCAGTTACATCTGCACCACTTAAGTATGTAAAGTGAAATAGGGTTTAGCTGTAATTGAAAATATGAAAGCTATTTGCCTACTGAACTGTAAGTAAATCTAAAAATATCTGTAAATCTAATGAGCTCCTTTGTTAAAAATAATTGTAATTGCTATATTAAACACTGAGCCAAAACCTTCCTGTTTTATTCCCAATGGTAGTTCCCTTGACTTTAAGAGGACTACTCAGACCAGAAAGATAAGTATAATTTGGTCTTACAAGTTTTGTAAAACCATTAAAACATTCCAAAGATAAATGATGTAACAGCCAATTGTGTTTAAGGATTCTTGCTGTAATGTCTTTTCGAACAGTACACTTTATTCTAGATACTCCCCTTCTTATTTATTCAAAATAGAAAGAAATTGATGATAAAAACGGTGAGGTAATAGAGAGCACATAATAATGAGTGTTGGATGCATCCATTCCATTATCATGCATTAGAGAATGATTTTCATTGCTACCCAATAATGCAGTTTTATTCATGCTTAATTTTCTAAGTATAGGATTATTGTTTTATGTGATATAATAAATAGCCCAGGCTAAGAAATCAACCTCTCTTGTAAGAAGGCTCTCAGGAAACAATTTGAAGGATGCTAGAGTTGCATACTTATGCAAGTTTTTATTGTTAATGTATTGACCAACTCCTTTTCATTGAGAAGTGTAAAGAGTTGTTTCACTCTCACCTGGAAGTTAAATAAGTCTCCTTCTTTTAAGATGCTGGATGTCAGAAGTATTGTTCTGTTGGAAAAACCCATACTTTAAAAATAATTGTTTTAATTCCTTTGTCTTCTTTATCTGTTTCTGAGCGTATATATTACTCTATTTTTAGTGGTTTGGTAACCTGGTTACCATGGAATGGTGGAATGACATCTGGTTGAATGAAGGGTTTGCTAGATACATGGAATTTATCTCTGTTGATGCCACATACCCAGAGTTACAAGTGGTACGTATAGCACATTTTAACTCGCTTGGTATAATTCAAAATGTATTTCTTGAAGTATGTATGCACTAACTAGTTACTTTATCTTGTTAGAATGACTACTTGCTAGATACCTGCTTTACAGCAATGGGAAGAGACTCTATGAACTCATCTCGCCCCATATCTTCAAAAGCAGAAAATCCAACACAGATAAAAGAAATGTTTGATACTGTTTCTTATGACAAGGTAAGTTTGTTTAATTTTCATATGCATTAGTGATATTGTAAGTTATTTGCAGTATGAATGATTTAGAATGTTAAAGATCTAGAAGACAGGAAACTTGGCATTGAAATACTATTAACAAGATGGATTTATAAAAGAGAAAAAGGGGCAGGGGGATGAAAAATTAGGATTAAAGTAATGGAGTCAGATCCCAATTCTGCAGGTTGCTGCACTCAGGGATAGGTGTCTGGCACACAAAACTGATTGACCATGCCATCTTTCAAGATCAGACATTAATTTTGGCTAAAATCATTCTAACTTCCTAATATGTCTCATTTAAATGAATGTGAAAGTATCTCTTGACTTCACTGGGAACAGGACTGAGTCCTAAAGAGTTGCTTTTCCAAAATACTGATAACTCTCACTGATTCCACTGAAAATTAGGGACTCTGCCTTCTGCCTAACTTCAGATAAACATGGCTAACTACCTCTCTTTACTTAGGGATGTTCAGAATTTTGCAGTGCAAAAGAGAGTTCTGTTTTGCAGAATAGTGCACTAACTTTTACCAAGGTAGAAAATTGAAAGGATGCGTATCCATTTCCACTAGGGAATATTGAATTTCTCTCCTAGTTTTTTATTGATTCTGAAAAGTCTTAATTAAGCCCTTTCTTATAATGGTTAAAATACCTAAAGTACTTCCATTATTTAGTCCTTTTTCTGCATGTATGCGAGAGAAAAAAGTCATAGTAAAAAAAAATGTTTTGAATCCTATCCTCTTATACCAAATTGTTACAGTTGGCTGCATTTAGTTATCTTGTTATACATAATAGATTGGCACACATCGCTGATTTGTTATAATTTATAATCTTTGAGGTATGAAGGAAACGAAAATAGTTAATAATTAAATAAAGGTTGTACAGGGATAGCTTTCTGAAGAATTTACAAGGTATAACTAATGTCTTTCTCATGACTCTCTCCTGTATAAAACAGAAAAAAACACCATAAAATGTTTGAAATATCTTGGCATTGGTACAAAATACATTTGTGTAATATTTGTATGTATTTGTTTAAACCAAAATAGGAAGCATTAAGAACTGAAGAAGAATTACTTTTGAATTCTGTGCTTTACTACATTGAGTTAGATTTCTTTTTCTCAAATTAGAAAAGAAAAATTCATTTATTATTTTTAAGTAAGCATAATTTCGAATGTGCAGTTGTATTTGTTTTCATGCTGATTGACATCTCAGTTTAGATTCTTGCTCAGGCCTCCATTAAGTTTTTTTTTCATCTGTTTTCCATCACCCAGTCCTTTTTTTCACTGGTCAAATTTCTTTTGACTGATTGCTGATGAAACTTTTCTTTCTGGCAAGCTGGTAGCTTCACCAGAAGCCACAGCCCATGTGGGTCTATGGGTCAGAGAAGCTAAACCTAGTTGCATACTTGATCCATGAGAGAGAAATTCTGTGCTGATTTACGCCCTGTGCAATCCCAGTGAAGTCCATAGAATTGAAGGGTGCATAAATCAGTACTAAATTTAAACCTAAGGAAGAATACATTTCTACAGCAAAGCAGTGTGGGAGCTGTGGAAAGACAGAATGCACCTTTCAAGCATAAGTGTAGGGTAAGGACAGACCTGTAGCTGCTACTCTGTATCTGAGTTTCAATAATCTGCTGATGTAGAGACCACTAGTTCCATTTTGATATAGATCCACTAGCTAACCTTTACTCACATGCCCTGAAACTTCCTCTAAACATTGTATTAAGCAAAGCTGATATCAAGCTTAGTTCTTCAATGCAGAGGTGATGCAGAGTCAGTTTTTTGCTGGGCCTCATGCTGTCTGGACCGTTGCATGGCTTCCGCATAGTGGGACCTTCTGTGTCTTCTGTTCTAATTTCACTATTAGTGCTTTAGTTATATTTAGTAACTCTGATCAGGCAATAACTTTTTTGCCCTTTGATTTTGGTTCCTACATTTTTTTTACTCACTTTTTATGTTATTAGAATACCTGACTAGTTTTAACAATTTAGCATTGTTTTACAACATATTTATAGCTATTTAGAAGAAAACGGAATTTACAAACTAATTCAATTTTGTCCATTCATATGTAGGGAGCTTGTATTCTACATATGCTGAGAAACTTTCTGACTGATGAAGTGTTTCAGAATGGAATAATTCATTACCTAAAGAAACACAGCTATAGGAATGCAAAGAACAATGATCTTTGGAATAGCTTTGCAAATGTAAGTTTTCTTCTTTTATTTTACCTAGCAAATAGCATACTGCTATGCAATATTCATTCAAGGTAAAAGTCTCCTCCTGTGCAAACAGTATACACAAAGCATATATACACTTTAAATTCCAGTTAAGCCTTGTTTTGAGTATATAAGTGATGCACAGATCTTGTGTGATGGTTCACTTTGCATAGGAATGAATTTCTCCTACTGTGAGTTTTTTTTTTTTTCAGTATGCCTCAATGTAAAGCTATTCAGAAAGTTGAAGTCATAATAAATAAGCTTCTTACATCTTTAGAAGAAATGGAAGAAAATATTTAAATAAGTACACAAAAGATTTAACAATTGAGAGGCAAATTGGCACAAACATCAGAGAAGAGAAAGTTCCAGAATGGAAGGGCATATTGACTGTGACTAATTCTTACTGAAGTCAGCGCCTTGGAGGATTAGCCTGTAATTGTGGAACTGGGAAAGCAAATAAATCTACTTCTGTGTAACAATGTGACTTGAAGTGTTAGGATCTAAGAAGTTCATTAAATAGATTTGGCTCAGTTGCTGTGATGTCCTAAACACTAGTTGAACGATAATAAACTCAGTGCAAGCTTTGATCCATGAGGAATCATTGGTGTACATTGTACAATAAATTATTTCATATTTTGGAGGAATTAGCAATGGGTATAAAGAATCCTGTACCATAGTTCTTTGGTTTATTATGTGATTTATTTTTTAGGGCGATTGTAAAGCAAAGCATTATATTTGTCCAGCATTTAGATCTCAAAAGCACATTACTATATTTTATCACATACAACTCACACCATTTTCTCAAAAATTGCCCTACCCCAAATTCCTATTAAGTGGGGATCTGAATATCTGCCTGGGAAACAAGCACCCTGCTTTGATTCCTGCTCCATAGTGCAGCAGTTGTTGCATTACTATTCAGGCAACTTAATGGTTCCTTGTTCTTTATTCCAGAAGTGTTAATGACCACCTCTTCTTTTTAATGGTCTTGATGTTCCACTAATCAAGCTACTACTCTAAGTGAGTTTGCTGTCTACTAGCTACTCCTGGACACTCTCTCCTCCTATTTCACAGCCCTAGAGACGTTAGCTATTTTCAAAATCATAGATGCACCCATGGAAATGAATCTTTAGTAGCAGCCAGGGTTTGAGCTTTAGTTAAACAGGAATGGGAGAGCAAGTCAGCTGAAGAGTAGGCTATGTTTCTGGTCTGGAAAAAAAATTATTTTTCTTCATTCTGTCTTTCAAAAGCAAGGTGTGTATAATAGTCAGGGGCACATTGTGTGCGAGCAAATACAGCAATCTATTTGCGAGGATAAAGTTAACAGTTTTGCACATTTATCAGGTAACATAAAAGAAGCTAGGCCAGTTTTTCAAGTGGTCTAAATGGGAAAAAAATGTCATCAAAGTAAAAAACAATGACCATTTCATCTATGTAAGAATTAGGTTCAATGAGCTAGGTCTATCTCTGATGTATTCATAGAGAAGGTAACCAAACATTGTTGGGATATGGCATGTGTCAGGAAAAACTGATCCTTCATTCAACTCTGCAACTTAACTAGTAATAAGATTCATATACCTAAAGAAAAGTCAGCCTCTAAGGAAAAATACAACTGAGTATCATCAGCAAAGCAATAACTCAGTAAGTGGAAAGAAAAAAAAAATGACAGCATAGATAGTAAAAAAAGAGGTTAGGCTTAAGGAAGACAAACACATAAGAAATGGCATACTGGATCAGACCACAGATCCATCTAGCTGTCTCCTGTCTTGCTTAGTGGCAGTGAGTACATTCAAAGGGGAAGAGTATTTAAGCAGGCATGGAATAGATCAGTCTGTATATGTCATATCTCCCCTTCCAGCTTCTAGAGCCTGAGGGCTTCTACCTCATGTTCAGGACATATGAAGAAACAAAAGAGAAAAAACATCTTGGAAATCTGTAAGGCTTACATCTAAACAGTAATGTAATGTATTTAAAACCATTTTATAAAGATATGATAATGACCAGTGTACACTTTATACACTGCAAGTAGCTTTGGTTTTATAATTCTGCTGGAGTCAGCCTGCAGCTAAAGATTATGAAAAGACGCAATGAGTAGGCACAAGGACAGTTCCAGTGTCAAGTTCCACATAAGAATTCAAAGGCATCAAAATCACTGAGATTGCCTATCACTGATGTCTGATCTGAAAAGGTGAGTGGTACCAGTGATGAGAACCATACACTGGTTGCAAACTAGTCTAAACACTGAATGTGTGTACAAGGAATAAGCAATCAAAGAATTAAAGAATTTTTTTTGCAAAAATCTTGGTCTGATAAAAGATATCACCTCTACCACAAGCCTTGCTTTTTTCCTCTAGACCAATATGGCTACAACCTGGATACCTGTACAAAGAATACATTTTTAAAAGGGACCAGTCATACTCCAAAATGCCTTGTGAAAGATGTGTTTCATATTTTTAAGGACAATATCAGAAGAAGTTTTAGAAAATTTTATTTTGGTATCACTAATGGCTCTAAGGCATTTCTGCAGGGAAAATTAATTTTAAGGGTTGGTGACTGGATGAAATGTTTCTTATGGATAACAACTAACATTTACATGAAAATTAAGTATACAGAAAAGGGTGTTTTCAATCTGACTTACTAATCCTGTATTTTTCAGACTTGCTCAGAGGAGGATTTTGCTTCTGCTAAATACTGTTACACAAAAAGTCAGGCTTCTAAGAACATAGTGAGTATGTAGATTGTTTTTTCATTATTAGACTTCTGCAGAGTGGTATAAGCAAATGCATCATGATATTGTAACTGTTATTTTATATAGAATTGAGCAGATACATCAAATTTTCCTCATGCAGTGGTTGTGCTACAAGTGGGTGGGTTCCAACACAGGTGGATAGAGCAGGGCAGCAAGACTAGTTGCTGCCACTGCCATGAACCTCACCCCAGCGGTGTTGCCAGCAGCATGCGGATGGATAGGAGGAGACCCACACTCTCCTCACCTCCTTCCTGTGCCAGCTGCTTGCATGCTGGGCCGCGACTCTACCCTGCCACCATGGCCAGGCTGCTGGCAACTCGTCTCACTGCCCCACTTCACCCTTCTGTGCTGGGACCCACCTGCTGTTCTGCCTATGCTGGTCTGGCCATGCTGCAGCCCTGTGCCTGCACAAATTTGCAGGCACACATGCCCCCCAGCCCCCAACATGTCTCCTGTGCCCCCCTCCTCTCCCAGTGTTGCCTATGCCCCCCCGACCACATAGACTTACCTGCAGAGAGCTGCAGGAGCCGCTCTCCACCCTGCCTGGCTGCCATGTGCATGTGTGCATGTGCACATATACATGGCTCCCCCTGTATCCTGCTCCCCCCCCAGCCTCAAGTATCCCCTTTCAGGCTGCAATGCTGCCAGCCTGCAAGGAAAAACCCATGGTTTTCCATGTTTTTCTGTGATTGTTCATGACCCTTTCAAATATTCTTGCGGCCCACTTTTGGGTCACAATCCATGGTTTGAGAAACACTGCTTGAACCTGTTCTTTCTGCATTCTGGCCTGTGTTCCTGCTTCCTTGCAAAAATGATTTTAATTAAATAACTGTGTACAATTAATAACTTTAGTAAAGGGAAGGAGGCACAAAGTACTTCAGCTTTCCCTGCATCACCTATTATTTGCTCTCCTTTCTTGGTTAGTGATGAACCTATCCCTTTCTTTGTTGTCATCTAATTTATTTACAAAGCCTTTTTGTTGCCTTTTATGCTACTTGTAAATCATTTTTCACCTTAGCCTTTTTGATAAAATTAATATATTTTTGTACTAGTTACATGTCCTTGCTTTCACTATTTGAATATTTCTATTTTGACTTGTAGATCATAAGGTAGTTTGCTATTGCTCATTTGAATATAGCTACTTTCAGCTATTTTTCACTAGAGTCTTTTATGCAATGGGACACATTTCATGAGGCCATCTCAGTAAGAAAAATATTGCCATAAATAAGCAACTGTAAATATTGAAACATATAAACAGCAGTGGAACAAAAATAAGAACATGTTTGAGATGCAAAAGGCCAAGAAGGTATTTTAAACAATTGAAAAGAACGTTCTGAATTGTACTGTCAAATATCGTATTAAGTAATTTTAGTCTTGAAAGAGCACTCGAGTGTGCAGTAGATCACTATGTAGCCTCATATGGCTGGGATCACTTATGAAAGCAGTCTAGAAAATGTCAGCTTCATTAAAGCCAAGGCTGCAACTGAACTCCAACTAGCTTCGAGCATCAAGGACAATAAAAAGTCCTTTTTCAGATATGTGGGGAGCTGGAGGAAAAGCAGGGGCAACATTGGACCCCCCTGCCCTCCATTAATGCTGACTTTCTGAAGGAACATCTTGAGAAGCTGGATACCTTCAAGTCAGCTGGCCCTGACAATCTTCACCCCAGGGTACTCAAGGAGCTGGCGAGCATCATAGCCCAGCCTCTAGCACGGATCTTTGAAAACTCTTGGCGCTCTGGTGTAGTGCCCGAAGACTGGAAGAAGGCCAATGTGGTGCCTATCTTCAAGAAAGGGAGGAAAGTGGATCCGGCTAACTATAGGCCCATCAGCCTGACTTCTATCCCGGGGAAGATCTTAGAAAAGTTTATTAAAGAGGCCATCCTTAATGGACTGGCCGACGTCAACATCTTAAGGGATAGCCAGCACGGGTTTGTTGCGGGTAGGTCTTGCTTGACCAATCTCATTTCCTTCTACGACCAGGTGACCTATCACCTGGACAAGGGAGAAGAGATTGATGTCATATATCTTGACTTCAAAAAAGCCTTCGATCTGGTGTCCCATGATCGCCTCTTGGAGAAACTGGCCAATTGTCGCCTTGGGTCCTCCACGATCCGCTGGCTGGAAAATTGGCTCCGGGGTTGGACCCAGAGGGTAGTAATCGATGGAAGTCACTCATCGTGGTGTCCTGTGACCAGTGGGGTCCCCCAAGGCTCTGTCCTTGCACCCATACTGTTCAACGTCTTCATTAATGATGTGGACACTGGAGTCAGAAGCGGACTGGCCAAGTTCGCCGATGACACCAAACTTTGGGGCAAAGCATCCACACCAGAAGAAAGGCGGGTGATCCAGGCTGACCTGGACAGGCTCAGCAAGTTGGCGGACGAGAATCTGATGGTGTTCAACGCCAATAAATGCAAGGTTCTCCACCTTGGGAAGAAAAACCCACAGCATCCTTATAGGCTCAGCAGTGCTACGCTGGCTAGCACTATGGAAGAAAGAGACTTGGGGGTCATCATTGACCACAAGATGAACATGAGCCTGCAATGCAATGCTGCAGCTAGTAAAGTGAGCAAAACGCTGGCTTGCATCCATAGATGCTTCTCAAGCAAATCCCCGGACATCATTCTCCCCCTGTACTCGGCCTTAGTGAGGCCGCAGCTGGAGTACTGTGTCCAGTTTTGGGCTCCACAATTCAAAAAGGATGTGGAGAAGCTTGAGAGAGTCCAGAGAAGAGCCACGCGCATGATCAGAGGTCAGGGAAGCAGACCCTACGATGACAGGCTGAGAGCCATGGGGCTCTTTAGCCTAGAAAAGCACAGGCTCAGGGGTGATCTGATGGCCACCTACAAGTTTATCAGGGGTGACCACCAGTATCTGGGGGAACGTTTGTTCACCAGAGCACCCCAAGGGATGACGACTAGGTCGAACGGTCATAAACTACTACAAGACCGTTTCAGGCTGGACATAAGGAAGAATTTCTTTACTGTCCGAGCCCCCAAGGTCTGGAACTGCCTGCCACTGGAGGTGGTTCAAGCGCCTACATTGAACACCTTCAAAAGCAAACTGGATGCTTATCTTGCTAGGATCCTATGACCCCAGCTGACTTCCTGCCCTTTGGGCAGGGGGCTGGACTCGATGATCTTCCGAGGTCCCTTCCAGCCGTAATGTCTATGAAATCTATGAAAGGGAAATAATTAGCTTTAAATGGTTTTTAATATACCTAATAATGTGTACTCATTCTAAAAAGAACAGATTCCCTGACTTGTGTAGCATCTCGGGTTATTACAAAGAAAATAACATCTAATGTACTTTTCACCATTTTTGGTCAGAGTGTTTTTTTTTTTTCTTAAAGATTATTCTCTTAATATGTATAAGTACCTCTGCAGAAGACGAGTAGAGGATAGTAGCTGGTTATATTCTTCCCTCAGTGATGGAGAAGCACGTCTTTGTCAAAATCTGGAGAAGACTTTGAATTATTAATGTCCCCTAAATATAATTCATGATAGCACATGGTCTATCAGGAGATGTATTTGGAAGGCTACAGAGGGGCAATACATCTAGTATGGAAACAGGAGTGCGCATCTTCAGGATTCATAAAAACCTCAGTGGCAGATGCAGGCAGGCACCCATCTCCACTTGGTAATTTTGATGTGGCTGTCAGCTTCTATTACACCCATGGTCAGATTCACTGGTACACTACTGTAGTTCTGCAAAGCAGCCAGAGTATATGAGTGAGCATAGTCCAGCATCTGTTCCACTGTTGTGTATAAAACTTTGTTACATTTAGGAGGGCAGCATGTTCAACCTGATGTGACACAGTTTTGCAATGCCTACAGCATAAATAGTCATCATGGAAGTATTATAGGTCTAGTCCGTTATACTGATCTAAAGCACAATACAGGTGCTTATGACAAAGAATATGTAAAGCTACAAGTACAATCTTTTAAATGGGCCATCAGAGAACCTCATAATAAGGATGCACAAAGTGACACAATTCATCTCTTACGTATACTAGTTTGAGATTTAATGATCATACTCCTGATTCAAACCAGCGTATCAGAGGAGAAATAATCTCATTGTGTTCCAGTTAAATTGCTTGAGGACTGCTAAAATACGTGTCTTTTTTTCTTGGGCTATTTTATGGAACCAATTAATTTAAAGGCATATGACTTAACTCTTTCTGACTGCAGACTATTTTCTCATTTAAAAGGAGTCTTGTACTGTTGAGGCAACTAATTTTTTCTTTCGTGTTCTCAGCATAACTGTTATGTCAGAGAACACTTTGATGTCACTGAGATAATGAACACTTGGACACTCCAGAAAGGACTTCCATTGATTACTGTTGAACAAAATGAGAAAAGAATCAAAATAAAACAAGAACGCTTCCTGAAAGGCATTTTACCAGATGATCCTTTGTGGACCTCAATGCAAACTGGGTAATTCAAGATGTTTGTGGAATTTCATGTAAACATTTGGAAGCCTTAGACGTTGTGGTTTAATTTTCCTGTTCACTCCTACTTCTAGTTTCCTCTGGCAAGTTCCCTTGACTTACATCACAAGCCACTCTAAGAGTATTGGAAGGCATTTAATGAAGAATCAATCAGGTTGGAGATTGGCTTATTGCCTATTTTGTATTGTAGTCCTACTGTCTTCTTAGTGCTTACAAGAGCTGCACAAAATATTGGCCAGACCAAAAAAAGTTGAGGAAAAAAATATTTTGTGTCCATCCAAAATGAAATGTGTTTTGTTTTTCCTGCTAAAACAAAACTTGAAAAAGAATAGCTTCAGGTTTCAGCTAAAATGAAACTTTTTAGAATTTCTTATTATTTTATAAAAGATCTAAAATTAAATTTTGCTAATTTTAGTGTCAGTCATCCTTTTGGAATACAAAATTGAGCACTGGAACAGACCCAAATTCATGAACGCACTCCCCCCAACCAAAACCTGCCCTGTTGGCAAGTGAACTACAGTATTTGTCTGAAAGATGTTGTGCAGTTCTGATGCTTCTACAGCACCCCCTTAGCACTCATTTAAAATTCTTCAGTCCTCAAAGAGTTACAAATATAGGATGTCTTATGTGATTGGAGCCCTGTAAACTGTGTTCATTTCATTGCTATGTTTCTTGAAATTATGTAACTTAAAAGGGTAGATTCGCCCTTTTTTCAAAAGTTCAGAGTTAATTTGTTGACATTTACTGCTAAAATGATACAAAACATTTCAAAAGCAAAAGAAACCTAACTATGAGTCTACACTACAATGTGCTTGGCCCTAAAGTTTAATATCTCAACTATGAAGAAGAATATATTTTAATTGTTAGCAACAAATGAAGCAGAAGATGTGGCAGGGGTTCGAATCAATGCCATATAATTCTTCCATAGAAGAATTAAGATCACTTTCCTGCAATATAAATACCACAGAATATGTTTGGTTGCATTGGTAAATATCACTAAAAATGTTTGTTTAATTGTTTCAATAATGTTTTCCTGCTCTCAGACACCATAGAACTGGAGGAAGATGTGAACTGGGTAAAACTCAATGTGGACATGAATGGCTATTACATTGTACACTATGAAGGGAATGGATGGAATAACATTATTAAACTGCTGAATCAGAACTACACCATCTTCAGTTACAAGGACAGAGCAAACCTGATTCATAATGCATTCCAACTGGTCAGGTAATAATGATTCTTTTTAAAAACAACCACAATAGGTTGGTGCAGGTTAAAATGCCATTTGGACTTGTAAGGGAATCACAGATGCAGTATTCATGATGAGGCAAATCCCCCAAAGTTTCTTAGAGGAGAATTCTGAATGGTATTGTCATTTATGAACTAGGAAAAGTCATTCACTAGATTTCCTCAAACGGTGGTGTGCTGGTGCTTCCATAAGAGGGGTAGCGGAAAAGGCTCCGAGTTGAAGAAAAACAATGTAGAGAGACACATTTAGAAAGAAATACAGAAAGAAAGATTTGTTGGTGGAAACACTAATTAATTTACAAAGAAGGCTCTGCCTTCTTCCTGCCTCAATTGGAGAGATTGGCATGTAAGCAGTGCCCATGTTTCTCTGAACACAAGGCACTTGTGTCCTAATAGCCTGTGAGAAATAGACTTCTGGCACAACTCCTTACAATAAGCCCAAGGTTGTAAGGTCCTTGTGGAAGGAATCCACAAGTGATCTTGGTAGATCAGCCTGTATATCTCTGGGTAAGAAAGACTAATTAGAGGGATGTCATTCCCTGCCTTCTCTATTGTATGTTGTCAGATTATAACTTATTTAAGAAATATTCTTTTTCAGTGCAGGCAGGCTATCTCTGGACAGAGCCCTTGATCTGACTCGGTATCTCCAGCATGAAACCAGTAACATAGTACTACTGAAAGGCTTGGGCTACCTGGAAGGGATCTACCACATGGTGGAAAGAAGAAATATTTCTGATGTCACAAAAAGTCTTAAGGTTCATTTCTAAGATTGTACCACATATGAAGTCCCACATGTATCACCCAGATGAAGTTTATTAACTTTCATCTCTGTTTCCATGACATTTATTGCTGACAGCTGAAGTATTTCTTTGTACTAGAGGGACATATTGCCTGTTATTAATCTAATGGTGCATCTATGACATGTGGAAATGCTACTTTTAATGCAGAATTGACTAATTTTTTATTAGACATCTTGAATGTGCTTAGGATGCCAGATTTCACTACCTATAAATAAACTATAAATAAACTATGTTGTATTCTCTCTGCAGCAGTACCTCCTGCAGTATTTTAAGCCAGTGATTGATAGACAGACCTGGAGTGATGAGGGCTCAGTTTCTGACAGAATGCTTCGTTCAAATCTCCTTCAACTGGCATACGACTTGCAATATCCTCCCTGCCTCCAGAAGGCAAATGAGCTTTTCGGGAAGTGGATGGGATTTGGTGGAAAATTAAAGTAAATGATTTATTTTCTACCTACTGTTCTTTGTTTACATTTCTTTCACTGTACTTTCTGGTTATTTTTTCCAGCATAGGGTTTAAAGGCATAGCAATGCTTTGCAAACTATGTGGGAAATCTTTTGTTATCAGAAAACAGTACCAGAAAATCTCCTCTTTCAGTTACCCATGTTAAATATGTTAACTTGTAGTGTAACTCACACCCACTGTGAGGCACTCTCTTATCTTCCCTGCCTTTCCAAGTTGCCGCATACAGATACAGGAGTCTGTAGGTGCATCTACATGTGCAATTAATGTGAAGCAATAAACTCTGGTGTTTTATTGCACTGGAGTTTATTGCTCCCAGGTACACCATTTGAAAGTGTGTCAGGGACCACAGCTCGTTGAGTCAGGTTGGAGCAGCCCAGGCTAGCAGGGGACTTGGGGGCCAGCCTGACAGCCCCAGGGTGCTTCTGCCCAGCTCAGCGAGCTATGGAAGGCTTGGCTGGGGCATGAGGGTGCTCCAGTGTGAGGCTAGCACCACTGGCAGGCAGCCCTTGCACTGAAGCACCCTTGCGCCCCAGCCAGCCATGTCAGTGTCTACACGTGCAGTGCTGTGGAGTAAAAAAACTCCACAACAGGATAGTACTTGTAAATAGTACTAGTACCTGCTGCAGAGTTAATTAGTTTACTCCTGCCTAATAGCACTGCATGTGTAGATGCAAGGCATTTACTGCAGAGCTAATTAGTGTAGTCCACAATAAATGTCTCATGTAGCTGACAGATTTAAGTTTCTTAGCATAGGCCTTTAGTTTTTATGTCTGCCTTTTTTTTTTTGCCTGTTTGCTTCCCCAGTGCCATACAGGGATGCCAGAATATGCTAGCATAAAAAAAAGAATTATTTTTTTGTTTAGCTCTTTACTGTTTTATCTCCACTATTATTATTATTATTATTATTATTATTTCAGCTCTTTAGTATAAACAATTAGCCAAATATTTAGGATTTTGAGTAGTGTTCAAGATCCTGCATAGTAAAACTGAAATGGAGTTAGGTGTTTCTTTGTTGCAATCCTATTTATCTACAATACCCAAAGTCCTGTACTCCTGGACATAAGAAAAAACAAACAAAAAGAAGCAATGTCTGCTCTCAGCTCCAGACCCTTCTGCCAGACTGTACTTAATTCCAAAATATCTCTAGCTTTTTCTCGAGCCCGCACTCTCTAGGCTTTTTACAGGTTGGATTTAAAAGCTATTATGGTTTTATAACGTTCCTACTCTCCTAAATGAAGTGTGCTGGTTTTAGTCCCTAGTGGTAATGAGATTGAACCCATCCCCTAACATTATTCGCTGTTGCTGGTATCATTCACAGTGCACAAGGCGCTGCTCAAATATAAAGAAAGTTTCAGTCCTTTCAAAGAACAACTTCCTACCCATAAGGCTATGAGTTCCACCAGGGCAAAACTCTGCATGAATACTGAATTCCACTGATTTCCCTTAGGAAGTCTGTGTCAGGGTGGCTCACTGAAATCTCAGAGACTGCTCTTTTCTGAAAAGGTTATTCATCCCCGCTTTGTGACTGAAAAAGACCTCCTTCCATCCTGACCTACACTTGTGTTCTTTTTTTCCCTTTGTCCTCAAAATTTTCATAGAGCAATGGAAAAACAAACGAATACAATCCCTTCCTTTCCCCAAGAGCTAGTAAGCTTCATATTCAGCAGTAAGTGTACCTCATGATCCTTCCCACACACTCTTTTCCTTATCTACTTCCTTAACTTTGCTGAGGCTAATTTGTGTTTTATTATAGAGATGAAAGGGCTACTCATGGTGTGTAAAATTAGGCAAGATCCTAAATATGCTGGATTAGGGTCACAGATTGTATACCTTTCAGGGCAGAACCAGTCTTTTTTTTTATTTGCCTTCACAGTGTTTTGTGTTTGTGGTATATCTGTGTGATTAAATACAATAATGTGGCTATGTTACATAGAGTAAATCGACAATACTTAGTTTGAAAACAAGGACAGCTCTTCTGTCACAGCAAGATAGCCAAGAGATGCTGGAAAGTTTCCTTTTAGTTAAATTTTTTTATACATTAGCAAATGAAAGTTTCCATATTTTTTTATTGTAATTCAGCCATTAAAAACACCAAATCATAACCCTGAATTTTCTGTTTAGTAATATTCCTTCTGATGTCATGAAGACAGTATATTCTGCTGGATCTGAAACACCTACAGGCTGGAATTTTCTTTTGGAAAGATATAAAGTGTCCGTGTCTGGTGCTGAACAGACAAAAATCAATTCGGCATTGGCGAGTTGCAAAGATGATGCAAACCTAGCAAGGTGGGATACAGTACATAATTATTTACTCCAGTGTTTATTTTCTCTGCTTTAATCATGTAGCTAACTTGATCCTTGTGAAGTAACTTAGTTGCAGCCTGTTGATATGACTCTTTTATGATGCACCTTTTTGGGTGTTTATGGTTTGATTACTGAGCAAGGTATGCAAAAAATTAACATGCTGGAAAAGGTAAAAAGCAGCAATCTACCCTGAGATAAGTCTCATAGCAAAAACAATAACAGCACACACTGGTTCTGTCTTTCTTTTTTATTCACCTATGTACTTTCATCGTGATAATATGGCAGTTTAGGCACCAAAAGGAGAAAGAGAATAAACAGGGTGAATCAGACTTTGTTTGGCATATTTTGAACCACTGTGATGGAGTTAAAGATGGGTGTCAGTTTATAGAGAACCAATATACCATTGCTGTGAGTCCTTGGAGAATCTTAGAATATTCAAATTAATACTGAAAAATATGTTAAACTATATACATATGTACCTGTAAGTGCATGTAATTGCTAAATATATATATTTTTTAAAATCCTGTCTGAGATCACGAAAGGCCTTATCTTTTCAAATCTTCCTAACATAACTAATATTACATATATCACCACCTGTAAATACCTAATCTACCCTTTCCTTGCTTTCCTGGGATGTTGTAGGCTACTGGAACTTGGAATGGAGGGAAATGTAATCAAGACTCAAGATCTGCCATCAGTTATCTATAGAGTCAGTATGAATCCAGCTGGACAACTCCTTGCATGGAACTTTGTCAAGAAAAATTGGAGCAAGCTTCTAGAAAAGTTAGTATTTGCACAAGGACTGGAAGCAGCATAGTTACAACATGGCTTGAAAGGGAGGTGATAAATTGTATTCCCATGACCCTGGACAAGCAATTTTACTACTCTGTGCCTAAACTCCTTCCTCCTGAAAAAGGAGGAGAATACTTAACTACCTTTCCATATTTCTGTGAGATCTGCAGTTAAATCAGGTTTTGAATATCTTTTTTATTTGATGTGAAAAAATACTGAAGAGCAAACGTCTATAATTTTCCTTCTTAACTAATCTTCATTCTCAGCATTACTGATGCTAAAGTAGAGAAAAATATATAGTAAACTCAAGGACCGAGGAGATAAAATGTTTTGCTTTAATCCCAAACTGTAAAGAAATCATTTCACTAACTGTGAAACAACAGTAAAAACTGACCGAGGTAGTTTCATATTGTTAGTCAAGAAGCAGGAATTTAGGGGCAATTCTACGTTTCTATTCTCTCCCTGACTAGAGATGTTCAATTAAAAAGATCCACTATGTGGGTGATCTGGTTAAAATGTGGCATGTTACTGCATAAATTCCAGGCAACCTGTGCACTGGGGGCTATAATTATCTAGTAGCTGGAAAATGAAGAATGGGTCTCTCCAAGGCTTTGAGTAGAGACTGGAATATGGACAAATGTACGTTTTAGCTGCTTTAAAGAGTGGGGAGAGCTGCAGCGTGTATGAACTATTAGTCTTCATGATCTTGTAGCAATCAATAAAAGTTACCTAAATTGCTTAATTTTGACCCTAAAGAAAGCACCGTTAAAGTTATAACAGTTCTGTTATACTTGTAGTATGCAGATGTAACAGTTACATTGAAACAGCTTATATCAGCATCCTTGAAGATCATTGCATCAATAGAATTGTTATATTTGCCTATGCCCATGAAAGGCACCTAGCAGCAGAAGTGCAGGTATTTTTAATGAAGCTTTTACTGCAAGGCAGAGAATAACAGGTATACCCTGCCTGAGGACACTAATTATCACAACTGTTTCGGCCCTTGATAGTCCAACGTGTGAGATCAATAAAATAAATTGAAAATTTGAATTTTTTTTTCATGTGGCAATTCAAAGAAGTATTCATATGCTACCAGCTTGAACTAATACTAACCTCTGTTGCTATTAAAGTTTACATGGAGATAAATTGATATGGTCTGTAATTCCCTCTTTTTTCCTTCAGATTTTCCCTGGGATCTTTTTCAATGAGAACCATTATACTTGGAGCAACATCACGCTTTTCTTCAAAACAAGAATTGGAAGAGGTTAGTCTGAAGCTTAAAGAGAACATTACATGGGTCATTTACATTCTTGCTACATAAATCACTGTCAGTGACTCTGAACTTGCACATTTGGGGGCCTTTATTGCATGTATTAGCATGCTCTGTTAAGTGTAAAAATCTAAAAAAAAGTCTTTTGTGATGGAGAGAGCTTGCTACTTGGGCCAAAGTATGTATGGACTTAGTTTCAGTTTAATTATTTAGGAAAAGCTATTATAAGTACCCATAGGAAGAGAGGACTATGTGTCCTTTTATTGAATGAACTCTGGAGTGGACTGGCAAGGTTATAATGAAAGTTTTGCCTATGAAAACTAGCTTTTTAAATTATAGTGTTCATACCTGTTGTTCAGAGTTGTTTGATTTCTATGTCAGCCTACTTGCTTCCAGTATCTATCACAGGCATTGTATAAATATTAATGTTCAACCATATTAAATTGTATTTCAGACCAGAACTTGACTCTATACAGACTCCTATAAAGCAATCTCCGAGAGTTAGGCTTTGTTTACCAAGTCAGTGTGAACTGCAGGTTGAGAAAATATAATTGGTCTAATAAAAGAAATCAGATTTACCCAAAGAATCTTATCTGCCAACTGCAGGTTGAGGCACTTAAGGAATAATTTGTAACATTTTGCAGCTAGTTCTGTTTTAGAATTCATCTGCCAACATTAGGCAAAGGGAGATGTTAATGAGAACAATCTGAGACCCTGAAGATGCCATTATGTGAGGTATTCAAAGTGTAACATGGCTCTTTTTGTACACGTCTTTTCATAGCATCTGATGAAGTCTGCTTTTCCTCATTAATGCTTATGCATTTCTCAGTGGTGCTCAGACTTTTCCCCCTCTGGGTCCTGGGGGCCTGGTACCATTCATCCCACCCCTGCATGCCAGGATTGGGCCCTGGAGGCCTGGCACTGCCCTCTCCCAGCTTCCTCACTAGGATTGGGCCCTGAGGGCCTGGTATTGCCTCTGCATACCAAGATAGGGCCCTGGGGCTCACTGCTGATTCCACCCAGCCCTGTGTGCTCAGTTCAGGCACCCAACCCAGCATGCAGGGCTATGGTCTCCCCATGGATCCAAAAATTTGCAGCAGGGGAGAGGTACCAGATCTGACCCAAAGACCAAGTTAGTCTATAAGGTGCATCACTACCCTGCCTTCTGCCTGCCTTCAGTTTAACATGGCTAACTACCTCTCTCTGCTCATGGCTCTCAATATTCTTTATTGAGGCTCAGCCTTTGGTGTATTTCCAACACTGAACTAGGCACTGGAGCCCAAATCTTCAAAGGTATATAGGTGCCTCGCATCCATCAAAATCAGTACTCAGTAGGTACCTACATATCTTTGAGGATTTGGGCCTAAAACTTAGGTAATATGCTCTCTTTTGCCCCATGGCTTTGGGAGGAAACCTATAGAGAAACTCCAGCTGATAGGATAAAGTGCAGAAGCAACTAAAGTCTGAGCCGTCAGACGTTCTGAGAGCTTTTTACAGTTCAACTGGACTTTTCACTGTCCTCTTCTGATTGACCACTTCACTCCAGTCCTCTCCCTCAGTCTCTTCCCCTCAGATTCCTTCCACACTTACTCACTCTATCCTCTTTCCTGCTAAATCCCTGGAGTATGCCTTCTCCTTTAGCATTAAGTTGTCTCAAGTAAATACAAAGTAGGCGGATCTTATTGTATGGCCTGCAACACACTCAATTTTGCATCATGCTGGACCTCTTACTAGTCTAGAAGCATCTTCACTCACAAATTTTCATTAATAGTTTCCTGGTAGCATTGGGCATGTAATCCACAAATTTGTCTGTGACAGGTTCACATCTATACCTGTTCCTTAGAAGATACACGCTTACTATAAAAAATTAAGTAACCTTATTAGTCCAGGCCATGATAGAGGAAGCTCTTTTAGCTGTGAAGGTCCTTATTCAGTCCTTAAGATGTCAGTTATCTCATCTACATAAATCACAATAGTAAGCATAAGCTTTATTCCCAGGCCAAACCTTTAAAGACTGTCACTATTTGTCAAGCTTTTCTTATCAATAGCAATCTTAACTTTTTGCTTCTATTTCATTTGTTTAATAGGTGAAGTTGTTTTTTGCATCAAAACAGGAAATATCACAGCTGAGAGCACCTCAGATTGCACTGGAGAACATTGAGAAAAATATAAAATGGCTGGAGAGAAACTTAGATATTTTAACGAAATGGATATTAGAAAATCTTCAGTAAAGCTGCACGGAGGCAGATAAAAGATTGTGTTATCACTAAGAGCAGTAAAAAATGTAAATGTCTATAATTTTTATTGATCAGCAAGATTGTTTAATTATGTCTTTCATCTAATGAACACTTTCCAGACACAGTGGCATTTTTATGTCATTTGGGACACCCCATTTATGTTGGTTTTGTGTATATATGTGATTCTGTTTGGCTGTTTAGGCAATTAAGATGGTTGAAGAAATTTAGCTGCAGACTTGAAATGCTTTGTGAGTGTCTGCGGAGGCTTTTGTTTAATTAAATTTGTTAAATTAACTTTGAAATTAAGAGTGGATGGTGTGTGTAACTTCGATGTTACAGGGGTGTAGGTTGTAGCTGTGTTGGTTTAAGGACATAGGCAGACAAGGTTCTTTGGGTGTATCCGATACCTTTTATTAGACCAACTTAAAGACTTGGAAAATTTTTTTTTTTTTTAACTATTTGAGTTGGTCCAATAGAAGATATCAGTTTTCCCCAAAGACCCTTGTCTGCCTATGTAACTTCTATGAACTTCTTTACTGCTGCACTGAATCTGGGCATACCAGTTTGCCCTGCTTATTCTACTGTGTTAGATATTTTGTCTGTTTGGTAAATAAAAAGCATCTTTACCTGTGATTTGTCTTTGGTAATCTGAAAATCATAGAATAATTGTATCAAAAGGCAACATGCTGCATGAGGTACACAATAGAATAAAACAGCTCAGTTTCATTGGAAAAAATGGTAATAAGGAAGTTTCTACCTTTTAAAATTGCTACAGCATATAAATTGTGTGTTGGCTGAAAAAAATCCTTGATGGTGGTTTTTCTTTAGAGACCAGTCTATTGTTTCATAAGTAGGAGGTCAGTAAGGTCAGAAATTTGTCCCTTGAGAGAGTGGGGCAAACAGCCAATGACTGCTCTTACAGGGCTCAAGTGCAGGAACCCCTGCCTGCTTCTCCACCTCCCACCTCCAAGTTTTGGCACAGGGTATGAGGCCTCGGGTCTCTTGGTTATGGCTGAGGAGCATTTGGCTATCCTTGGCAAGCTCTGGAGCCTGAGAGGCATGCAAAGATTTGTTCCTGAGATGCCTATCCACCTAATGAACTCAAGGAAATCTAAGACTTGTGTTGAGTGTCTTCAAGACCTACATTTTGTGTGTGTGACTTTCACCACTCCATAATCATCCCAAACTGCTCAGCCATGGGCAATAGAGATCCTGTCCTGAAGTGGCATATGTGGTCACAGAGGAATTAGCAGTGTCCTTGGTAAAGGGAAAGACATTCTGATTTTCAAAATAATCACTCCAAAGCACTTTTAAGAAAATAACTTTTTGCTTGAACCTGCAAAGAGGTGTTTCTTAGCAGGTGCAAAGTATTCTCAACATCCTTTTATCTCAGTGGAACTAGCATGTATATAGTGTTTTGCAGGACTGGACCTTCTCTACTTTTAATTTGGAGCTAGGTTCTTTTTTTCCCACACACATCCAGGCTAGGGGCAGAAGTTACACATAAACCAGTGTAAGTGATCAGAAACTGGTTCAGGTCTGTAGAAGTTCAGAGCACATAAGCTGCTTTCAAAATGGCTGAAACTGGTTTAAGGGTGCAGACAGAAGTGCAGCTCCCAGCTGTAACTCAGAACAATTTCTGCAAAGCGTTCTGAGTTACAACGTTACCCTGGACCAAACAGAAGTTCACTGTTGATTCCAAGGGGGAAGGGAATCTAGCTGCAGGCCGGGAGCCTGCAGCCCAGTTCCCATAGCAACAGCCACAGCTTTCTGTCAGTGCTCGCTGTTTTCAGAATGGGAAGGGGGAAAGATAGCTGGGGCTCCCCAGCTGGTGCTGAAGGGTGGGGTGGGTGAATTAGAGCCCCCTACCTTGGTGGGGGGCTTCATTACACATGCCCCACCCTCCAGAGGGGTGGGACCCCCCTGACTGAACTCCCTCCACTCCCTTTCCTTCCTCCCATTCTGAAAACAGTGAAAGGCTGGGAGCTCTGCAGACACAAGTTACAAGATGTTACATTTTAAAATGTCTTTATCTGATACTTCATGCAATGAGAGGTCAGATTTTCACTCAATAGGCAATTTTTAAAGCTGTCTACAGCCATGCACTTGTATTTAGTCATGGCCATAGACTGCTTTCTGTGGCCAGATTGGGTGAAAATTGTCACTTCTGTCTGCATCCTAAAAAAAACCTGGATGAATGTAGTATCAGACTTAACTGATTTAGGTTAAATCAGTTTATTGAAGTTCTGCCCCAGATCCCCTCCAGATTCAAGTTAACTCGCAGTCCCCAAGCATCCCAGGATGCTTTGCACCTCCCCCGCAAACTCCCCCTCGCAAGGTGCGCAGGCTTGGCTTGGCCCAAGGTGCCTGCTCCAGCCAAACAGGGCAGGTGTTTTCAACCTTTTTTAGCAGTGTACCCCTTCTGGTGGCAGTGGCTGGACGCAAGGGGGGCAGTGGGTGACGTCTTTCCAGTGGTGGCCTGGAATGATCTGGCGTGCTCCGAGAGAGGTTAGAGGTAGGTTGCAGCCACAGCAAGGTGCAAGTGAGGCTCATGCTGCCAAAGCCTCCTGGCTCCAGGCTGATCCAACAGCTCCATGGGCCAGATGCTGGCCACAATGCCAACCCCAGTTTAGACAGCTGTAAACAGTTATGGCCGGTTCTGACAGAGGCCTCTTGCACCTGTCTGTTCATGTTGTTTTTAATTTCTAGACATGCATCTAGCTGCTGCAAGGGGACTGGGCCTGTCGCTATGAAACCTGGGGCAGCACCACAGACCTCACAGGGAGTAGTGGAGGACCACAACAGCCCTGTCCCTCGCATCAAAATGCAGTGACATGTCACGGGAGAGGGCCCCGATGCCACCTCATCTCATATCAGACCCTGGCCCTTGCAGTTTTCAGGCCCTGCTACTTTTTTTTTTTACTCCCTGCAGCTCTTTTGCTTGCCCTGGCCACCACTGACCCTTCCCAGCAGCTGCTGGGCCTGAGCTCAACTGGCCCTCAGCAAAGGGGCTACCAGGGGTGGCGACGGGCTGAGGGAAGAGGGAGCTGCCCCCTCCCACATGGGCCTGGCCCCAGGCAGAACTACCTGTGGGCCAGCACCCGCCCCCCTTCCCCTCCAAGGAAACCCCATGGTGCCACCACCCACTACCTCACGCTGCCCGTCAGCAGTCTGTGGAGCCACACACATGACCAGCTGTGGGAAAGTGGTGCGGGGAGTGGTGGCAGTGGGGGGTGCAGGGCTGGGCAGTGGTGGCCACCAAAGGCTTTCCCCCCCAACCCCAGCCAGCCAGACAGTGTGTGGGCGGCCCGCAGAGGGGAGCCGCTGCCCTTGGCCCCCGGCCCTGCTCCTGGGAGCGGGTACAAATGCCAAGCTGAGGAGGGGTCAGGGAGGCACTGCGGTGTGCTGTGCAGGGCCGGTGCCACCCAGCACACCCCTCCCCTGGGTAAGAAGCAAAGTATGGGAATGTGCCGGGGAAGAGGCCACCGCCACACCCCAGGGTATGCTTTGTCCCCGCCCACCTGCCCACCTGTGTGTACCTCCTGTGCCTTTCTAAGTACCCCAAGTGGTATGCATACCCCTGGTTGACACCCCCTGAAATAGGGAAGCATGCTCTAGCATCCCCAGCTTCTGGCCTTAGCCACTGCAGACATGTGGCTGCATTTCTAGAATCAAAATGAATGTCTATTCAATTTGCTTATCAGTTCAATCTACACAGCTTAGGCTAAACTATGAAGATTGAATCAATTCAATTTTAGCCCCAGCGGGACAAGGTAAGTACAGAGAATTATTCTTTACAGAGGCTTCTGTTTTTATGCAGCTAAGGGGTTTAAGCTTGTATCACATATAAAGGCAAAATTCCCGTTGAAAACAACTCTTGTGCTGATAACTTGTAGATATGAATTTGCCAGACTGACTAGTACATGCAAAGCTGTATGTATTCATATTAATAATTTACAGCAGATCTACTGCAGGTCAGCATTTCTCCTGTCTGTACAACTTAAGTCTATGTGCAGCTCTTATACACATGCTCACAGAGCCACTACTCCTGGCTGACAGCAGGATAACTGAAAAAAAATCCCACTATGCAAATCATTTGTATATTCTCTACAGTGAACTTAAACCATTACACACGGGTCAAGTCTTATCTCATGCCAGGTCTCACACATTTTCCCTTGCTTAAAACACCCAGTACAATGCAGCCATAAAGCTTTGCTTACACACCAAGTACTGTGCATTTCTCTGAGCTGTGCAGAAGTGCAGGTACTGAGCACAAAGTGTTTGCTGAAAAATAGTATTTTTCTTTTCAGTTATTTTGTAGCATGCAGTAACTGTCAGGAGTCTGCATTAAGACTATAAATCTTTAAGGCAAGGATGATGTCTTTTCTTTTTATCTTCTATAAAGTTAAGCACATGGTTGTCATTCAATAAATAAAAAAGAAAGAAATTTGGTCTGATGGGTTTCATTTGCCTTGTAGCTGCTGGTCTATGAACTACATAGGAGTAAATTTTGGTTGCAGAATTACAGTTGGAAAGAGGTTCTTTATTTTCAAGTCAATATGATGAGGTGCATAATTCTTGAAATAAAAGCTCCTGCAGACAATAAAATTTGTTAATAGACAAAAAGAAAAATACTTGTGCAGGACATGTCAAAACCAGTTTCTCAAACCAAATGGTTTCTATTATCTGGATTTGTTTTCCCCTAAGGCTGGAAAAGTCCTTGGAAATTAATTGGTGAAATCAGTTATTACTGAAAACTGGTTTTGATTTTTTTTTTCCAATTGTAAGCCTGTGATCTATAGCTGCTGTCACCATAGCTGCTGTCACTGTTGACTTACCCTAATATTATAATTTTTCTGTGCCATTCAAATTATTGCGGCACTATTGATCATTGTGAAGGATTCTGTGCTATGAAACCACACAGAGGAACACAGAGCTTGTTTTGATTTAAAGTGATAAATGATTATTCATCGGCTGTACTCCTTGAACAAACCTTGGAAATCCCCTTTAAGGGAAAACAAAAGTGAAACTAAAAGCCTAATTCAAGGCTGCAGAAGCTGCAACGTACAGGCTGTGAAGTACAGCAGCTTCCATGCATTTGCTTTTAAAAAACGAAAATACTTTTTTTTTTTGCAAGGAAAGCATCATGATCAAACAAGAACATGCCTAAAGAAGTCATGTAAGACAGCTCAATTGTAGAAATAAGCGGGGGTGGGTGGAGAAGCTGAGTTGAAGGAGGGAGGCTTGGGGAAGACATTCGGTAATTGAAACTCTCTCACTTTTTTTTGCTCTCGATTCCTTTCTTTACAGTTGTTGTAAGCCATCTTTTAAGCCGTGTTGTGAGTGAAGTATCAGTACATAAGAATATTCCATTTTCAAGGCTTAATACAAAAATATTCAAATTAAATTGAATGAATATGCAGATTGTATTGAGCAAAATGTGTGAGACAAGATAGATCATTAATTATATTTTTACACTCTTCTTTAAGATGGAATAATATTGTTTTTTTACAGACTTTCTAACTGTTAAGCGAAGCTCTTATACCTGGATTCAGCGAGTAGAGAACCTTCGATGAGAAAATTGGCTGTATTCTCACCCTTGTACCCCAGAGGAGTTTGAATTTGATATTATGAGCAAGAGAGGGATTCAGTAAGGGGACTGATGTAATCTCATTGGCAGGTGATAAAGGCCATTTTAGCTGAGGCATTCTGGACAAGCTGTCTGGAATATCACTGCTAAATTTATATAACTAATAAAAACCTGCAGATTATTGTGAGCACCTTATTCCATGACTCTTGTGTTTTTCTAGAACACAAAATAAGCATGAGAGTTGTAAGTCTTCCTCTCGTTCCCTACAAACAGTGTCATCTCATAAGCAAATTTTTTCTTCAAGGTCTGTTGACCTTAACATTTTTAGGACAGTTGCTAATGAAGTACTTATCAGAAGAAAGTGGAGAATTTATTTTATATTTCATGCTGAATCATTATTTAATATGATTATATATTGTGACTATTATGTTGATTTTGATATGTTACAGTAATTTAGTTCAGCAAAACCTATTTCAGCAATATCTCTAAGCACATGTGTAACATCGAGCACATGCAACAATCTATGCAAGGATTGGGCCTTATCACATTTTTCAAGTGTCTGCTAGAGAAATCTAAAGCTTCAAGCATCTCTTGTCATTTTTGAACATTTGGATAAACATAAACAGAGCCACCTTTTTGTATTGATATGCAGGAAACTTTGTAACAATTAATGAAAGATATAGCAAGAAGTGCCTTGGCTTTTCTTAAAGTTCTCTGTTTTATTTTCCTCCAGATGAGTATTCATTTATCAGAAGACTTCATTATTGCCATGAAGCATTCAAAGCAAATAATGTTTTTAGAAAGTGGAAGTTTCTAGCCTGAAGAAAACCATGTTTATCTTTTTTTTTTGAGAGAGAATAGATTTTTCTATGCCTTTACAATGGCTTGTCTCTGCAGAAGATATTCATTGTTAGTATTACTGCAGATATTATATATTTATTCTCCGGGAAATTATGCATGTACAAATGAAGCAAACAAAGACAATGAGACTTTTCCTACCAATAAGAAGCCATTTCCTTGGACCAGTCTGAAGCTTCCACGTGTGATTGTTCCACTCCACTATGACCTCTGTATTCACCCTGATCTTTCCTCTTTACATTTTACTGGGCAGGAGACAATAGAGATTTTTGTCAGAACAAACACTAGCTTTATCATCTTGCACAGCAAAGATCTTGAAATCACCAGCTCTGTTCTTCTGTCCAAAGATGACATGTGGTCCAGTACACCAGGAAAGAAACTTCAAGTTTTAGAACATCCTGCACATGAACAAATTGCCCTGCAGTCTCCTGAAGAATTAGGTGTTGGCCAAGTCTACCTGGTTACGATTGAGTTTCATGGAAAGTTGGCAGATGGCTTTGATGGGTTTTACAAGAGTTGGTACAAAACTCATGGTGGGGAAACAAGGTAAAAGTATATTTAAAAATGTATGGGTACCTCTGTGTTATAAGACTTCATAACATAAAAGCTCTGCAGCTAATATACTGTCCATCATGCTTCCTATTCAGGCAGAGGATTTCCAGTTGGTCAGAGAGAACAATCCTTACTCCCTAGTTTACAGTCATTTGTGATGTAACTATTGTGCTTCTAACTACCCAGAACAGAACATGACTCTGCAGCACTCTGATATTGGTCAAAAGATCCAGCTAGGCCTCAACCCTGACCTAAGGACTTGTACCCCATAAAACTTCCATGATGTTATTTCTTTTCTCATATTGATTTTACACTAATGGGACATCATGGACTTCAAGGCACTTTCTTCTTTATGTGAGAGGGGAATCAGGCATAGAAAGTCCCGGCATGGCCCTGCAAATGCATTCCCTTCTTAATTAAGATACAAAATTCCAAATTAAGCCCAGGGAGCTGTAAAGTGGCTGAGCATTTTATTTTTATACAGAGAAAAGCTCAGGAAAACATACAGTTAACATTAACAGTGATATATGCACCATTCAGTTTGCAAGCTGTCTGAAATAGGGAATGTCTTTATCTTTGTGTCTTGTACAGCACAAAGTTGTCAATGCTTATCAAATTAAAATAATAGCAATTAATAATTACACAGGCCATAATGTTATTCAGTTAGCAGTAGGTCTCACTAAGAACTAAGAAGGAATAAATTATTGTTTGAATTTAGCCTTTTCTTATTCATAAAGTGCCCTTGCTTTAATATAATTGTTTGCTATTCTAATTTTTTTTGTGAACAAGCCGTAGCTGAAGGATTGTTCACTAGGTTCCTTTGGACTTTTGCTTTTTACTTGAAATGAATGATTTTGCCATGAAACAAATGATGCTTGTGATTAAATGAATCTGCATTGCTGGCCACAAGTGAACTTTCCAAAACAATTTATATAATAAATGCTTGGTTTGAATGGATGTTGCCTAAAGTGAAATACTATTTAGACTCCTCAGAATGTCCATGAAGAATCACTCACAATTGTTCAATTCTACTTTGCAGCATCAGTTCAGAGTACGTAGCCTGAAATTTCAGATCATCTTGCTTATCAAATGCAGTACGTAATATTAGGTGTGTTTATAGAATGATAATGATGTATGACTGAGACATAAAACAATGAATACTTTGATTTCTTAGGTTCCAGTACTTCAGACAGGCATGTGCACATTCATTTAAAGCAGAAGACTCCCCAGTATACGGTACTGTTACCATGCTAAAACTATATGTGCGCATGAAAAAGTCTTTAGAGAATTATGGCAATATTTCTTATGAAAGTAAAATTCCCATCAATATGAGTGGGGAAACTTAAATCACGTTTGTCTGTGTATGGAAAATAAGATCAATCAAAACCTTTGTGACTAATTTAGTAGTTTGGGGACAGTGTAGCCTTCTGAAAAAAAGAAGAAAGTGAGACTCAGGCTGTGATATGTAAAGAGAAATTTGCAGTGTTGTCAGTTTTCATGCTTTTTCCACAAGCCTTGTAATATTTAAAGCCATCGCCCTTGGAATGATGTGATTGTGGGAATCTCGGCTTTCATTAAAAAATAGTTAGCTGCTAAAATTCATAGTTGTGAGAAAGAACTGGAAATATGACTACACTAGACTTAGAAAACAGGACAAAAATATTTTTTCCTTAAAATGTTTCTTTATTTCTGAACACTGGAGGCAGAATTCTTGTACCTTTTTGGAACTTACCGAACCCACATGTGGCCTTTTGGCCACTTAGGTTAAGAACAGACATTGCACTTAGCCTTGGATAAGTTGTGCCTGTGTCCTGGAACAAAAATATCCTGGGATTGGCATGTACACACATCGCCCTTCTAATCAGAGTTTAGTGAGCAGCTGAATGCAGTGCCACTTTTCTGCTATTGATTCAGTGATGCAATCTTGGGGTAAGTGTGCAGATGTACTTTGAAATATCTTGGGGTAAACTGTTACTACCTCTTATCTGAGAAACTTTTTAGGATTGATCTCAGAGCAATGGATATGGATGACTGTATAATTTTACTTTGTCCTGGGATAAAATAGTTTCTCCTGGGATGTGATGTCTGTGTGCAGCCTTATGCACAGTTTACAATTCTGTTACCCCTGCAGTGTAAACATGGAAGTGTGAGGATGTCACTGAAGGTTTGGGAAGGTTGGGAAGCATGGCTGGGATGGGCTGGGGCAGGGTCTCCTGGGTGCAAGACAAGGAAGCGGGAGTGGTTTGAGATGGGTTTTCTAAGATTTTGGAGTGTTATTTGGGGAGTCTGTTTTTATTTCATACCTGTACGTTTTCTTGTAAACTACCCTGAGCTGACTTTGGACAGGGCGGCATATAAATCTAATAAATAAATAAACATTGAGCACGTGCAGAATCTATGCACTGGCCAGGCCAGTATGTGGCTCTGAATGCATTATCATTATGGACATGTAAGTCATGAGCTCGTAGCTAGATATGATTAATGGGTGACAGACACCAGAGGAGGAGGCAGGGACTGGAACTATGCTTTAGTTCCAGTAGCGGGTAGTTGGACCACTTAACCAGCTAGTGAGAGCAGTAATGTAACTAAGAAGGGCCAAGTGAGGCAGCAGCCCTGAGCGCAGATTTGAATGGCAGAGAGGTGCGGGGGGGGAGGGACAGACAGGATGGAAAAATCACAGCTGCTGCTATAGCTATATGATTGACAGAAGTTATCTCTGTTGTCACATGTTGGTGCTTCCCCAAGTGCCCAGTTGCCCTATTATGCCTCTGTGTGGGAGACCCAGGGTCTGGGCACAACTTCCTTACCAGATGGATTTTGAACCTGCCTCTTTCTGACTTTCCAGTGCAGTGCTCTAATCACCTGCCCCTTCTGGAAAGCAGTAGGCCCATTCTAGCCTGAAACTTCCCCACTACACTTCATCTTTATCCATTGGGTTTATTAACTGCAAGGGAAGTCTGAGAGATGTGGGTGAGGGGAGCCAGGCCTGTGTCTTCTGCTTCTAGGGTGAATATGTATCCTATTTTTGTCAGGACAGTCCCATTTTAAACACCTCTCCTAGGCATCCCATTGGTTTGGTCAAATGAACACACTGCATTCCCATTTTCAATGGGAATTCAGTGGTGGCAGTGCTCTTAAGCCAAGAGCTATGATAAGGGGGTGCTAGCCCCGCAATATCCCGCAGCGTAACTCCTTCCACTCTCTGATGAACTTAGCTGAGAGCAGAGCTTGGAGATAGCTAAGCATGTTGGAGAGCAGAGCAGAGTACTGCAGGGTGCCAGAGGACTTTTGAAAGGGAAGCATTTAGGTAATTCCCCTAGTCCCGAAACCAACACACACACTTTTCAGGTTGTCCTGAAATTTGAGACCCAATATGGTTACCCTATTTGCTTCCTGGACAAGTGCCTTAACCACTCAGCTGCTGGAGATCAAACATAAGAGGGTTTCTTTCTGGGACATATATGCAGGTATATGTGTATATAGTCTCAGACCTGCCCAGTCAGTGTGTAGCCCATGGTGCATGTTCAATATATACATGTATGCTTATGCACCCATACTGCAGGGTGTGCACAAATTGTGCACAAGTTGCAAAAAAGCCACAGATGTGGCGGGTAAGTACCACTTAGGTGTACAAACTGAAATAAGATTCTGTCCTTAGGGGGGAAATTTGGAAGTAAAATTCAGTGTCTGATTCAAGAGCTAATGAAAGCAGTTCTCAAAGATAAAAGGTGTGAGAAGAAGGATCTGATCTAACTTTTTTAATTGGGTAGTGGGCAGGACCTGCTTGGTTCAGAGACCTTGTCTAAAGAACTCCCTTAGCAAAGGTCTATCTCTTTTCAGCAAAGCATGAATTATTTTAACAAATGTTTTGAGGGTACAAGGTTTCTATGGATGCCAGAACTAGCTTTATCTTATGGGTGACATGCTGTTTACTTTTATGTCATAACTTCCCTCAACAGATTGTGTTAATTTAGACATTACAAATCTGATAAGCAGAAATCTCTCTTGAATGTAAATGTATAACTGGTGGTAATGAGATCAAACATGATCCAGTAATTCTGTTTTAGCACTAGTACCAGTGCTGGCACAAAGTATGGAAGATTTCAAAACAGTGAAGAAAACCTATAATTTTACTGGTATTTGCACTGTGTTTTAACCAATAAAGAAGTATAACAGTTCTGATTAGAAATCTATTATTGTAAAAACTACTCTATCAAGCTTAATCCTCCCACAGTGTGTGACACAACATTTAATGACATTATTCTTGGTTTCATATTTAACCTGGAATTTTTTTTCTTTACAGAATAATTGCGACTACACATTTTGAACCTACCTCAGCATGAATGGCTTTTCCATGCTTTGATGAACCATCTTTCAAAGCCAACTTTTCCATCAAGATAAGGAGAGAAAAACAGCACATTGCATTGTCCAACATGCCCAAGGTTTGATTTTGTCAAAAAACTAGGGGATGTGTAATTTTAGAACAACTGTATGTACAACTGAGATAATGCATTCCATGTCAGAGTAATTTTTTTAACCTGATCCTGCTAATTTTTATGTTTGTTTAAGCATATATATGACCTCTGCAGCAGGGGGCATAGCAGGATCTCTTGAACATATAATGACAACATTTCATAGAAGCAGGACATTGGCTGCTATGGCGCCCCTGCTTTATCTGTGATGGGTTATGGTGTTAGGTCTGTGTTGTGTCAGGGTTGACAATAGACTTATGTCAAGCTTAGATCATGGATTGTATAGGATGGTTTGGATAGGGATGATCCTGCCTCAGGCAAGGGGTTGGACTAGATGGCCTCTGGAGGTCCCTGTCAGCCCTACTTTTTTCCGATTCTATGTTTCTGTGATATCAATGGAAATAACCACAGGTATAAAGTTAAGCAATTGTGTAAGTGTAGCAGCAGTGTATCCAGGCAGCTGGTACACCAGTTTTGCTGCCTTATTTTACCTTTTCTCTCAAGTCAACCAAAGCCCTACAATTGTTTTCTTTTTTCTCTTTTTTTTAATCAACACACCCCTTTAAAGGATCTAGGTAGGTAACACAAACAGTTGAACTTAAAACTTTTAGTCCTCAAAAAAAAAAACCAGGCTTACTTGTTCCTTCCAGCACCATTTGTATAGCCTGCCTGGGCTTTACGGCTCTTTACCACAGTAGACTCCTATTTCCTGTAGGTCTCTGTCTTTTAAGTTAAGCCACAGGCTTCCCTAATATCTATAGCAGCTAGTCTTGTCATTGTTGTCCAGCCTGGCAAGATTACTGCTCCTTAGACCCCTCAGGGATCTTGGTGTCTTAAGCTGTTTGATTTTAAAATGTAAAAAGTTGACAAGCTCTGGGACATTGCTCCCCTTAGGTTGTTACAGCATCAAGATCTGTTCAGGGTAGGGACTATGCCAGCTTGTTTGTATGAAGGGCGTGTAGTGTATTGGGCATGGCAGTAACATACAAATAAGTATTCCTACTGTAATTTCCCAGACTCTTAGTTTGACTTCAACTGAAGTCAAATCTGCTAAACCAGGGGTGTCAAACATACAGCTGGATGTGGTGGGCATGACCCTTGTCAGAAGGAGGACAAGCAAGAGCTGTGCAACACAGCCCTGCTCACTCTGCAACCACTTGGCCTGTGGCTGCTTGCACACCCCACCCTGGCAAGTGGCTGTCTGTCCCACAACCACTTGCTCCACTGCTGCGATGGTGGTCACCACTGCTGCAGCGCTTGCTGGGGGCTGGGTCCAGCCTGTGAGGAGCTTCCAGCATCCGGATCTGCCCGGGACTAAATGCAAGTTTGACACCCATCTGCTAAACAAATTATTCATGGTATCAGTCTGTTAGTTCGTGGGAATTGTTAACGTTTGTAAATATAAGAACATACCTTTTTTTTCCTCCAAAAACTTCAGACTAAAACAACTGAACTTGGAGGAGGCCTTTTGGAAGATCATTTTGATGTGACTGTGAAAATGAGCAATTACCTCGTGGCATATGTCGTTTGTGACTTTAAGTATTCGGAGGCCACAACTTCATCAGGGATCAAGGTGAGTTCATGCTCAGTTTGGCCACATAAGATCCTTTTTTTGATCCTAATGATTGAGCTGTAGCATGAAGTACATTGCTAAAATCACTCATTTTATAGGTTTCTGTTTATGCATCACCGGACAAATGGGACCAGATCCGTTATGCCTTAGATGCAGCAGTGAAACTACTGGAATTTTATGAGAAGCATTTTGATATTAGCTTTCCTTTACCAAAACTCGGTAAGTCAAATATCTAAATCAGCACAGTTTATATAAAGTTCTTTCAGTCAAGAAGATTTCTGTTTCACTTCTTTCCCTTTCCCCCGCAAAACTAAGTGAACAACACAAAATGTTATTCCAATTAAGAAAAAGCCAATATGTCATATGAAAAATTGTGTTGCAGTAAAGTGCTTTTAGGCATCTGCATAGTTTGTCTGAAATCAAAATGTTTTACCTTATAAGGGCATAAATTATTTCTTTGATCTGTACCACAGATAAGCCCTAAGACTTTAATTAACTATGTAGCTTAACTATGTAAGAATAGTCAATGTAGAAATCGCTTGCAGAATACTGAAATGGAAAGTTGTTCTCTTGAAATAACGGAACAAATGGAAAAAATTGGAGAACTTGAGATTCCACTGCAACATAATCTTTATAATCTGAATGTCAAGAAAGACAGATATGTTCAGCTGATTGAGGGAATTTTTGAAGTAATTTATAATGTATAGCGTATGGGCCTCTTTCTCTGTTAACAGGAAGTTGCTGATAAACAAAGTTTGGCTAATCAAATGTGTACTGCCTTTGAAAAATCCTCCTGTTGTGCCTACAGTTAAAGGAAACTCCTTAAATCTAAGTATTGAAACTTGCTAAGTACTTAATGATGCAGCCAGTACTGCAAATGCTTACTCATATGACTAACAGTTTGCAGATTTATTGACTGTATACACTGTATTTCTCTGGTTTGCACTGTATGAATATTGGCCCAATATGAATATTGACTACACTGCCTAAATCCTGTTCCAGTACATACTGAGCTCAGTGTAAAATTGTAGGAAGGATTTTCTAGTGTCACTTTCTTTTCTTTGATTGATCTTACATTCCAGGTTGAAAGTAAGTCCCCAGGACACTGCATTTCAATTAATCTAAAACCTAGTGTGATAGATGGTGTTTTGCAGCCTATCACCCAGCACTTGCTCCATCATATTTAAAAACACTCTGTTGACTCTCTGATAAAGCAATATTTAAATCAAGATTGGATTTTTAAAGGGAAAAACATTGAAGAGAAGTAGTAGACTGACACTAGAATTAAATTTCCATGAGCACAGGAACCAGGAATTACAGCCCAACAAGTCTTAGAAGGGGTCTTATCCCGTCCACGTCTCAGAAAACAACCGTGCAGATCAATGAAAACAAAGCAGCAGGGAGAAAGGCAGCCCAAAGAGCTTCAGCAGCAGAAGTGCTAAGAACAAGGGCATGCTTTATGTAGCTTTGTACTTGGAATAGCATCAGATGGAAAGCTCATTTTCAATAGCCTCTTTTAATGCCCATATCAAATATGGAACTAGCTGCAAATGAGATAATAAATATTAAAGTCCCTGGTGCATGGTACTGGTTTGAGAAGAGATAAATCATTCATCCTTGGCAACTGCTCTTCCTCATGCCGAATATCCTCTCTGATTAACACTTGGGTTTTCATTTCCTTCCTGGAAATTTCTTAGCATTTTGGGTAGGGGTTTTTGTTTATTTGTTTTTCTCTTTTTAGCTAGGTCTGTCATGCTCATCTTAAACATTGAGTAAGTTCTACAAGACAAACCAATCTTCATTTAAAAATGGTCTTAACTGTTTAATCTTTTATACATTTATTTTTTCCAGGTGATATATATATGTATATAATATTATATGTAGACACACACACACACTAGCCAATTGCCCGTCATGAATGACAGATTTAAAATAATGAAGGAGTGTTTACAGTTGTCACAGGCAAGGTCAGCTCCCAGACTACTGCACCTGGCAACACAGTTTGGGGAAGAGTGAGCAGCCTATTGTGGTGAAAAAGCAGTTTAGGGACTATTTAGAAAAGTTGTACATGTACAGGTCCATGAGGCTGGATGCGATGCACCCGAGGGTGCTAAGGGAGTTGGCTGATGTTATTGCAGAATTGCCAGCCATTATCTTTGAAAACTTGTGGCAATCGAGAGAGGTCCTAGATGATTGGAAAACAGCAAATATAATGCTCATCTTCAATAAAGATAAGAAGGAGAATCTGGGGAACTACAGATGGGTCATCCTTACCTTGGTCCCTGGAAACATCATGAAGCAGGTTCTCAAGGAACACTTGGAGAAGAAAGTGATTATCATGGGCGACTGGTGCCTCCTGAATTATTGGGGGCACTTGCCCCTCCAGCAGCCAGTCAGTGACCAGGGAAGGAGGGGTCCCCCCTCAACTGATCGCACCAACCCAGAAGTGCCAGTGGCGCTTCTCCTGTAAGTGTACTTAAGATGCGGGTTCAGCATTTGTGAATATTTGAAACCGCGAATGCTGAACCTGCGAATAGCGAGGGTTTCCTATACTGAAGGGTAGAGCTAGGATTCAGACAGACCTAGACAAATTGGAGGATTGGATCAAAAGACACTTCATGAAGTTCAATAAGGACAAGCGCGAAGTCCTGCACTTAGGACAGA